TGTGTGCGTGTGTATATATATATAAGAAATGTTACATTGTTACATGTGAAGAGATAACTATATACATATATAAGTAGGCCTAATATATATATATATAGGCCTATATATATGTATATATATATAGATATATATAAAATAAGTATGAATGCACAAAGTAGAAACATATACGTTGACATAATTGACAAACAAACTTGCTTCAACTATGCTATAACTTAGGCCTATATCCTCCACAAGAACATAGCGTTTGAAACAATTAAAAATGCATGCTGTGTAATTATAAAAAAGATTGTATACTAACAATGTTGAGTCAATGGTAGCTTGCGTCTGCGGTTTCCAAATAACCGTAAAACTGACTAAAATCAGCCAAATTTTAGCCATTATTGTTGCCACTCATGTAATATCCCTAGATAAGTGTCAACATCTCACAAATCCAACATATCATTCTGGTCTGAAGACCATTTGGCCCAATATTTTCTCCAGCTCAATTTCAGTATACGCAAGCTTCATCCGTCAATGTATTTCCATCGAGGTTAAAACAGTTTTATTCCCCTGCCTATATCCTCAACAGCAGTGCAATAATTGATTTTTTTTCTGTTCACCTTATGAAGCATCTAGAATAGCAAGTGAGGCATGAGTTGTTAGAGTATCGATAGCAGTCAATTTCTAGCTGCAGGGATTATGCTAATGCACTCATTCATGCATTCAATTTAGTCACACTATTCATGCTGCACAAAAATCCAATTCAATCATAATCCCTTTTGGCACATCAAGGTAGGAGGAGCTACTTGTCAATTGAGCCAATCAAAAGTGATGGAATAGTCTATTATACTATTGAGGTAGAGGATTTTACATTATAGTAATTTATTTTATTTATTTATTTAACAAATTTATATAATGCCCTTTTCATGTTCAATCATGATCAAAGATGTTTAACAAAGTAAAAATATTGTACATTTTTACAAGTTGAAATTGTGTATAGATATGAATTTAACAGCATAAGTTACCTTACAGTAAACTACCTTAATAAAATGTTTAAGACAGATAATAATAGAAATATAAAAACAGGCTATAAATATAAAATATATAATTATTATTTTTTATTATATTTTTTATTTATTAATAATTATTAATTATTAATTCATGTAAAAATAAATCTGTATAAGTAAAAATATTCCACAATAAATAAGAATCAGAATTCAAATTTCAATATTTCAATAAAAAAAAAACCATGCAAAACACTTCCAGTCACTGGAAGTGTTATTATTTTCATCATTACTGCAAAATGAGCAAGTTAATTTCAAAATTATTGTTTTATGATTTGTCATTTTCATTTTACAGAAGCAGTTTGGCACATTGGAAGTGGTTTGGTTTCCCAACCTTGAAGTCGGGGTTCTAATCTCTCACTGTGCATTCGCTTTTGTCCTTGAGCAAGGCACTATATCTACCAACATTATTTCAGTCTACCCAGCTGTCAGCTTAGCAAATGTTTTAAGTCAAAAAAGTTAAGATGGCCATAAGCAAATATTTAAGCTGATTTATCAAACCATCTAATAGCAAAATCTTATCTTAAAAATCATCTTAAATGGCGCATGTGTACAATTGACTTTTTAATTTTAAGCAATTTTTAAGCTTGTAATAATGATAATTTGACTAAAAGTTAAAAAAAAATGGGCTTAAGATGAATTTAAGTTGATTTCTAGTTTGATAAATCCAGCCCTTGGACTAGATATTTAGTTCATAATTCCATCTTGAGTACTATTAACCTTGCCCAGGAATTACATTCCTAGGCAGGTGGTTTATCTAGCCCCATGGAAGTTCCATTGCTGCTCACAAAGGAGTCACATTTTGATTGGTTGTCCTGTTCACCGCAATATAACAAATACAGCATCTTACACTACCGGTATACCATTGAATTCAAGGTTAAGCTATTTCCAAATATTTTTTTTACTTTGAAAGTCCCTCTTTTGGTTGCTTTGTTTGCTGGTAGTCTTGTACAATTAAAAAAGAGTCCTGGCGAAAGTCTAGTTGAGTACACTGGGCTTAATGGCTGATGGCACTGGTTTTGTATTTCTTTAGGTGGCAACCTACATTTAGATCCCCAATTTTGAGGCTAGACCTGTAACCTATGATTGCATATTTGGTATGCTGCTATCTTGACACTCTATCTTGAGTGTCTAGACCTCAGCCCCCAGCACCATGGTTAAAGTTGAAATTTCAAGCATAACACTTCTAGTTGGCTGAAAATAGCACTTCCTTCCTTACTTCAAAAATCCTTTTCAAAGTGGTGTAAACTGATGAAAGTTCATAAGTTCACAAAAAACATTTTCACAACATTGGGGTATGTAGGCCCATGTCCTATATCATCTAACTAAACTGCAAGCTTGAAATAATAACTGGTCATAAACATCCCTCTTGCATTCTGAGACTGGTTCATTTTCATTTCATTTCTTATTTATTCAGAATTTATTTGTCCACCTTTAAACAGACATGGAAAACTAATAAGATAAATTAAAATCAAAGTTACAGATACATAAAATGGTCAAGGGACGACATAGAAACTATTACTAGAAATTGCAAATTGCAAGTGAAGTGCTGCGAAGTACAAATGCAAATGTTCTTCGAACAAAATTATTTATGCGAGTCAAGTGAAAATAATGAATAATAAAAATATAACAAATAATATGAGACACGACCCATTGTCTATATTAGAACACTGACGAGCTGACGTAGAAACATAGTAAAAACGAGCATTGGTACCGTGTATGCCAGTCTACAACAAGCGTCGCCTAAATGTAATAATTAGCACGCTGAAATAGACTAGTTGTTGCGAAGCAGCCAATTCATATTCTTGACAGCAATTTGACCTCTGAAAGGTCATTGTTTGTCAAAAATCAATCGCCTGAGACAACTGAAAAGCGGAGTTTCCTTCTTTCGTTCTGCCGGGTAAAATCGATTACTTTAGGCGACATTTGTAGGCTAACCTACTCGTACCAACGTCGGCATGTCGC